CTGGTCCCCCCCAACTGCCCTCCCCTGCAGGCCTGGTCCCTCCCAACTGCCCTCCCCTGCCGGCCATCTTGTGTGTTGGAGTGATGGTCAATTTGCATATTACCTCTTTATTAGATAGGATTAGAGGCCCGATGCATGAAAATTCGTGCAAGAGTAGGCCTTCCTTCCCCCAGCTGCCGGCACTAGCTTCCCTCCGGCACCCAGGACCCGGCTGGCTTCCCTCCGGCCCCAGCTTTGTCAGGTAGGACGTCCAGAATGACGCCCGGTCTAATTAGCATATTACCCTTTTATTATTATAGATAGAATAAACTTGCTTAATTAGACTTGCTCTCTGATTTAGCTAAACTTTTTCCAGCCCAGTGAAGCACCCCAACTTCCCTTTCAGGTAATTGTCAGCAACACAGCAGTAAGTATCAACACGAAGCAGATTATTATTGTAGATCACACAAGGAGAACAAAGGGTAACATTTAACTGCAGCAGTGTTTGACTATATTCTGCGCAGGGAGAAAACCTGAAGTCATTTTCAAGGTCTACCATTTCTTCTTTTCATTCGAATCAAGTTTCTAAGCTTTCTAAATCTCCATTTTCCAGCTAATGAAAAGAAAATAGGATTCTATCAAGTCTCCAATCTACCTACTCCAGGGCTTCTGTGAGGATCAAATGAGATGAGGCACAGGGAAACACTTCACAGACATTTGGTTAAAGTGTAAATCTTTCCACCTGGCTATAAAGCAAGTGTATTCCTGGGCTGAAGAAACTGCAAGGAGGCTAGTTGCTAGGGAGAAGAAGGACACCATTACCCAGATGGACACTTAGCATATTAGCCTTTTATACATACAGATAGGAAAACTTTGCAGCTAGTAAGTCATTAAACCTAATCTTGTTCATCTTGGGGCTGGCAGTTGCCTTGATTTTTGCTTTCTCATGACTCACTATATCCAACAGCCAGTTACCCCTACCAGCTTCATTCAGCTCTGAAAGTTTTAAAAGTAGACCCATTATCATCATTTAATAGGATTCTTTCTCAAAGACTTGGTATCTAGAATATGTTATAGGAAAAAAATTAATCTTTGTGTCTGGTTTATACTTCCTCTTTTGTCTTGTCCCATTTGCCTTGTTTGTTATTTTTATCCTGTGTATCTCTGTAAGCTGTCTCAAATCCTCTTTAGAAAGGTGGGAAATAAACTAATATGATAATAATATAATAGTAATGATAGTAATAATAGTAATATAATTATCCTGCTTCTCCGGTTCTAGTACTACAGGGCACAATAGCACTCCTTTCATAAGGCAGAACGTTCACCATTTGCAGTTTGTGTAGTGGTGGAAGGTAAGTTCTTCCACCTCCTTAAAAAGGTGGAAGAACTTACACCACCCAAATTTCCATTCATTTCAATATTCATTGTCCAACAAACATGAATTAAACATCTGCTCTGTGGCTGGTATTGTTGCTGCTGAGGGACTCATGATCCTTGACTTCGATGAGTTTATACTTGAATTTTAAGATTGTAGAAATTGTACTGATTTTGAGGAATCTATTTTTTAAAAGGGTAGTTAATTGAATATTGTTTATTCACATACCTCTTCATTCAAGATGCTGTAAATCTATTCAGGATACCTTATCAATGTTTTGTGTAAGTTTGGTGTTTTTAGGTGGAGTCATCCTTTGTATCACATTTTTATCATTTTGCCTAAAGTTGTACAGTAAATCCTCACTTAACATCATCAATAGGTTCTTTGACCTTAAGCAAAATAACATATAACAAAACCAATTTAAACATAGGCTAATTAATATAAACAAGAGTTAAGTTTCTATAATACCTCATTAGTATTATAACAAAATGACATTGAACGAAATTGTTATTTGAAGATCTGCTGTATTTATAATATCAAAAAGTATTATCATGTTGTACTTTTCTGACATTATACATTTATTTATCATTGTATTTTGAGTTTAGAAAAATTTAACCCAGACATGATAATGTATTCTTTTGGCAGTTAACTCAGATTATTTTTTCCCTTTTTGTTTATTCTAAAGAATATTTATTTCATTAACACACAAACTTGCTTTCTCTCTTCAGATTCATTATATAAATCTCTATGCTAATTATAATGATCATCAACCAAAGGACTTGTATGCATGCATATAAGCATAAGTGATGGACACAGACAACAGGGGGTGAGGGTGAGGGCAAGACTAGGGGGATTGAGGGGACAATGGGGGAATAAAGACACATTTGTAATACCTTAATCAATAAAAAATTTAAAAAATTATAATGGTCAATTGTAGACAATATTGACTGTCTTAATTGTATTGCTTTATATTTTCAAGAGGAAAAGCAGGATTTTATATGAAAGCCAGGTGCCATGTTTTCAAAAGCCAATGCTAGTTATACCTACAAGCTTAATCAGTGGTTTCTTTTGGAAGTTACTACATGCCATCCTGGTGACATATTATGGCATATTCTTCACCTATGATAAAAGTAATAACTGGCAAAAAAGGTAATTCACAAAATGATGTAAAATTTTTAGTCTGCCCTGGAATTTTTAGGGATATCTTGAAAGTGCCGCAAAATTAGGATTAGAAGTGCCTTTCATAAAGAATGACAATATAAACATTTTCCTGTTAAAAGAGTTCTATCATGCAGAATTTATTTTCAAAAATAAACATTGAGTTATCCCACATACTCATCGTTGATAAACTAAAGGTATTGGTATGATAGCTGGCAAATTAGAATATTTGTATGTGGACTCGAATTCGACAATAGGAATCCCCTGTCCCATTTTCATTCCCTATCCATGGGACAACTCACTTTATTAAGCATCTTGAGTTGCAGTCCGGATGAACTGGGTATGCCTGATCACAAGTTCTATAGTTTTTCTATTTTCTATAGTACTATTGGTTTTACCTTCATCACTCTCCTTCCTCTTTGTTCTTTTTTAAAATCAAGCAGGCTAAATATTTTACTCCTGACTCTTTTTCAGGAAAGGTGGAGAGAAGCCAGGGAACTATTTCTTTTGACGACTAGTAATGTCTCAAGTTGTTCAGAATGATTTCTTTGTTTCTTTTAAACTCAGTGCTTAAATGACCTTTCTGCCAGACTCAACTTATTGCTATGCAATTAAATAAATCCAAAAATCTAGAGTGCCAAAAAGTAGTTATTTCAGTTACGTTTTTTTGTATTGTGAATTAACCATTAAAGAGTAATATATCTATAAAAAGGTAGAAAAAAATTTATTTTATGACTAAGTACATAAAGTCAAATAGTGTAATTGAGTTTTTAACTTGAGATCAAGGCAAAAATACACTTGATAGGTTATTAGAATATGAATATTAGGAAGAGGTAATATATAGAAATGGTAAATTGTTAGCCTTTGTTGGGCTCTTTAAATTAATATCTTAATTTTTGCTTTGTTAAGACTTTATAAAGAACGATTAAGTCAGGTGGATGCAAAACTACAAGAAGTCATAGCTGGAAAAGCACCAGAATATTTGGAACCACTGGCAACTTTACAAGAAAATATGCAAATTCGTACAAAGGTAGCAGGTAGGAAAGTGAAACATCTTTTTCATATAGTAGAATACGAACTCTTCAGATTTAAAAGGTGTTTGTCAAGTGAGCATTTGTTGTTAATGGAATCACAAATATATTTACACTGTGGACCACAGTGTTTCACTGTCAATCACTGTCAATCAGCCCACAGTTATTTATTAAATGCCTCTTGCTTTTCTCTGCTGCTGTGGGGTATGAAAAAAGCAAAACAAAAAGAAGGCCCTCAGGTTGCTTACAATGTTACAGTGTTGTTAAAATATTTCCACAAGTGAAACAATTAGTAGTTTCATTAAGAGATACTGTAACTATCACAGTTTCATTTCCAATTAAAGTCCAATTTAAATACTCTTAGTAGTTTTCATCGTAAGAGTGATAAGGTTTTTTTTTATTTATAAAAACATTAAAAAGTGTTTGATCAAGATATAGAGAACAGGGAATTAGCCCTCAAACAGATAATTTAATGGTAATTTTGATAGGATTGTTAACTCATTTGTGGCTATGAATAAATGAAAATATACTATAGTATTTGTATGATTAAAATTTCACTCTTCTGTTTGTAAGTGGGATCCTACCTCAGAATTGTGTCCTAGCACTCATCACAAGGATATAGCCATTTAAAGGTCACTTGGTTTGTCAGAGTCAAACTAAAAACTGAATTTTAATTAATGAAGATGCTGATTGTTTTCTTTTTTCAGACACTAATTGATCCTCATGTACTTGTTATACCAAATGCATTATTGATAATAGTTTCTTTTTGTTACTAAACCTATCTTAATCCAAATTTTATTCTTGAGTGCTTAATATTAAATATGTAAATATGTAGATGATACTCAACTTGCTTGCTGTCTGCATAATGGTTTAGCACACCCTTAAAAATAAGCATGTCTGTAATTTTCTTTGACATTCTGAAAGAACTGAGATTTACTGGATATTTAGGAAATATTACTTGAGTCAGTTACTCAATTTTCTAGTCTGTGGCCTTTCTTTAGTTTTTTATTGTATGGAGAGTAGTGTGTATGAATGTGTTGCTAATGTCATAGTTCTGAATATCTGTCCCTTGCTTTTACTATACAAGAAAGACATTTCTAGGGCCAACTATGGCATGGAGTTTAGTATGTACATCTAGAGCTCTTTGCCATTTTTGTGATGGCATATTTGCGTGGCCATGTTGCCTTGGTACCTCTAAGTTAAACTCTCTCGAGCATCTATCCTGTAGGTAAAGCCTGGTCAGAAGCATTCAAACATCACAGATTTTGTTATATCAGTTTATACATTTAATCCTCTTGGAAGCTTTGGACTCTAAAAATACATAGTACTTAAGGTTATGGTTTTGATGGATAGACTATCCAGTTGTTTGAGTATATATGATTAATGAAACCAGAGCTTATTTACTCTGTTTCCATTATGAGTCCTCAGAGATTGTTTTTTATAGGAGAAGAGTTTTATTTTCATTTTGATCATTCTCTATCAAACATTTAGGAGTATTCTCTAGATTCTAAGAATGAGGTAAGAACTAAAATTTGCAGTGTAGTTTTTTTCTAGCTCTTCTTAAATATATATATATATATTTATTTATTTTAATTGATTCAGAGGAAAGGAGAGGAGAGACAGATAGAAACATCACTGATGAGAATCATTGATCGGCTGCCTCCTGCGCGCCCCCTATTGGGGATCGAGCTCGCAACCCAGGCATGAGCCCTGACCGGGAATGGAACCATGACTTCCTGGTTCATAAGTCGACGCTCAATCACTGAGCCACACTGGCTGTGCTCTTCCTAGTTCTTAAACTCTTAGTTTTTTACTCTTCTTTAATATATACCTTAGCTGAGCCTTTTAGTTTTAGATTTTAAAAGAATAAGTTAGAATCACTGGTCAATTTCTTCTTAATACATCTTGGAAAATTCAGTTAGGACTATTTCTGTAGGAAAGTGATATTGAAACTTTGTTGTGAACATAATCAGAATAATTGTGTTTGGTTGCAGGAATCTATAGAGAGCTCTGCTTAGAATCTGTAAAGAACAAATATGAATGTGAAATTCAAGCTTCTCGCCAGCATTGTGAGGTACTGTTATTTTGCTTAATCTTTAAGCTAATTTCATTTTTTTAAGCCTTTTCTGAGTGTAGAAGTCTAAAAAGTAAATAAAATAAGTTAAAAAATTTAAATAGTACTTTAGTTCATCACTTGTGTGAATTAAAAAAAAAAAATACAGTTGTACTGGAAGCTGTATTGGAAATAGGACACAAAGGAAGGACCAGAGAAAAGAACTACTAGTAAGTGAGATAATTTTAGAAGTTTTGTAGATGTTACCTTAAAAAGACTTGGTAATGATTATGTCATCTAGCATTACTGAAAATACTGTAGTGTTATTTACAATAGCCAAGATCTGGAAATAGCCCAAGTGCCCATCAGTAGGTGAGTGGATGAAAAAGCTGTGGTACATTTACACAATGGAATATTATGCAGCTGTGAAAAAAGGAAAGAACTTTTACCTTTTGCAACAATATGGATGGACCTGGAGAATATTATGCTAAGTGTAGAGAAAGACAAATACCATATGATCTCACTTATATGTGGAATCTAATGAATGAAATAAACTGACGAACCAGAGGCATACATACGTGGAACAGATAGACAGCTGTCAGAAGCAAGAGAGGTAGGGGGACTGGATGAAAGAAGGTGAAGGGATTAGCCAAAGAACATATATACATAGCCCGTAGACACAATAGTGAGGTGATGGCCAGAGGGAAGTGGGGGTGGGGACTGGGTGGAGGTGGGCAAAGTGGGGTGGGGGGATGGATGGGGACATCTGTAATAGTGTCAACAATAACAGTAAAGTTAAAAAAAAATTAGTGTAATTTTCAAGTTAAGACTCAAATATGCATATTCAGTAGTACAGTTAGAATGTTGGGCTATATTATCAATTTCTGACTCTCTAAATCTGTTTTCACATCTTTGGGCATAAATCTCTATTTATGGCAAAAAAAATAGACGTACTTTTCTATAGGTTCTGATTATTTTGAATAGCATTTTAAAAAGAGTGCTAATTTTACAGATAACTTTTAATAAAGCTTAGGTAAGATTTCAAGTGTACTATTGGAAATAAGACAAGTTCTATAATGATTCTTACTTTAAACATACCAAATCTTTATAAATCATTAAAATACTAAAAGTAGATAAGTATGAAAATGGTGGATCTTCTTGTTTCATTTTTCTAATTACAACTGAAATTAAGCATCTTTTTAAAAAAAATATTTTTATTGATTTCAGAGAGGAAGGGAGAGGGAGAGAGAGATAGAAACCTCAATGATTCTCTCTCATCAATTGTCTGCCTCCTACACACCCCACACTGGGGATCGATCCCACAACCCCGGCATGTGCCCTGACTGGGAATTGAACAGTGGCCTCCTGGTTCATAGGTCGATGCTCAACCACTGAGCCACGCCGGCCAGGCCTGAAACATCTTTTGGATGTTTGCTGGCTGTTTGGATTTTTTTTCCTAAGAAGTGCCTGTTTATGTCTTTTAACTTAATGTTGGGCTGTTAGTCTTTCCCTCATTGATTTTAGAGGTTCTTCATATATTCTGGATACAAATGCCTTGCTGGTTAAATGTTTTGCAGATATTTTTACCCAGGCAGTGAGGTTTCTTTGAACTCTCTTTGATGACTTGATGAACAAAAGTTTTACATTTTAATGTAGCCAAAGTTATCATCTTTCCTTTATGATATGTGCTTTTTGTGTCTTCCCTACTTTGAGCTGAAAAGATGTATCTTCCTTTAAAATTTGAAAATTTGCTTTTTAACATTTAAATCAATAAACTACCTTTAATTACTTTTGTGTATGGTATAATGTATGGATCTAATGCATGGCTTGGTAATTTCAACACTCTTATATACTCCATTGTTTACCCACTAATCAGTAATTATAACTCTTTTTTATTTCAAATGTCCATATATGTAATGGCTGGTTTCTAGCTTTTTTCATTTGTTCTGTTGGTCTCTTCGGCTGTTTCTGCACCAAATATGACAATTCTGTTTTTATGGCTTTCAATCTAGTAAGCCTTGAAAACTCAATAATTTTACCTTGTTCTTTTTGTTCTCACAATTGTTATTGTTAAAACATTTTTTATATTGAATTTATTGGGGTGACACTGGTTAACAAGATTATACAGGTTTCAGGTGCACAATTTTACAACACATCCTCTATACATTGTATTGTGTGTTCACCACCCCAAGCCAAGTCCCCATCCATCACCATTTATACCCGCTATACTCTCCTCCACCTCTTCCCACCCCACACCCACAATCAACACACTGTTGTCTGTGCCCATGAGTTTTTTCTCTTTCTTTTTTTCCCCCTCAATCTATCAACTCCCTCACGCAGCCACCCAGCCCACACTGACAGCTGTCAGCCTGCTCTCTATGAATTGGTCTTTATTTTGCTTGTTAGTTCATTTTGTTCATTAGATTCCACATGAGTGAAATCACATGGTACTTGTCTTCCTCTGTCTGGCTTATTTCACTTAGCCTAATGCTCTCTATGTCCATCCATGCTGTTGAAAAAGGTAAGATTTCTGTCTTTTTTTATGGGAAAAGTATCCATTGTACTAATGTACCACAGCTTTTTTATTTACTCACCTACTGATGGACACTTGGGCTGCTTCCATATCTTGGCTATTGTAAATATCACTGCAATGAACATAGGAGTGTACATATTATTTCAAAATTAGTGTTTCGGTTTTCTTCAGGTAAATTCCTAGAAGTGGAATCAACTGGGTCATAAGGCAGTTTCATTTTTAATTTTTTGAGGTAACTCCATACTGCTTTTCACAGTAGCTGCACCAGTCTGCATTCCCATCAATAGTGCATGAGGGGCCGAAACCGGTTTGGCTCAGTGGATAGAGCGTCGGCCTGCGGACTGAAAGGTCCCGGGTTCGATTCCGGTCAAGGGCATGTACCTTGGTTGCAGGCACATCCCCAGTAGGAGATGTGCAGGAGGCAGCTGCTCGATGTTTCTCTCTCATCGATGTTTCTAAATCTCTATCTCTCTCCCTTCCTCTCTGTAAAAAATCAATAAAAAATATATTAAAAAAAAATAGTGCATGAGGGTTCCCGTTTCTCCACATCCTTGCCAGGACTTGTTTGTTGATTTATTGATGATAGTCATTCTGGCAGGTGTAAGATGATATCTCATTGTGGTTTTAGATTAAAAAAAAATTTTTTTTTAAATTTTTATTTTAGAGAAAGAGGAAGGGAGAGGGAGAGAGAGAGAGAAATACCAATGAGAGAGAAACATCAATCGGCTGCCTCCGGCACGCTCCCCCACTGGGGACTGAGCCTGGAATTTGGGCATGTGGCCTGACCTGGAATCGAACCTGTGACCTCTTGGTGTGTGGGTCGATGCTCAACCACTGACCCACACCAGCTGGGCTCATTGTGGTTTTAATTTGCATCTCTCTGATGATTAGTGACATTAAGCATCTTTTCGTATGTCTATTGGCCATCTGTATGTCCACTTTGGAGAAGTGTCTATTCAGGTCCTTTGCCCGTATTTCATTTGGATTGTGTGGTGTGTGTTTTTTGGTGTTGAGCTGTAAAAATTTGTTGTTGTTTAGTAACATCTTTTTAAAAGTTACTTTTTATTTTCTGCTGCTGAATAGAAAAGTAATTTTGTATATTGATATTATATCCAATCTTATTTATTTCTCATTTTAATTCTAATAATTTCATTACAGATTTTTAGGTTTTCCATGTAGATTATGTCATTTGTGAATAATGCCAGTTTGTTTCTTTCACTCTGATCTTCCTCTTAACTTATTTTACTTGTCTTATTGGCAATGGTAGGACCTCCAGTACAGAATGGAGTAGAAGTGGTAAAAGCAGATCCTTGTTGTGTTCTTGATTTTAAGGGAATGCTTTTAACAGTTTTATAATAAATATATTTACTATTGGGTTTTGGTTAATACTATTTTATTAAGTTAAGGAAATTTACTTTTATTTCTTGTTTTCTAAGAATTTTTACCATGAATAATTGCTAATTTTTATTAAATGCTTTGTCTGCATTGATTGAATTAGTCATAGTTTTTTGCTCTTAATATATTAATGTGGTGGCTTACATTATTAATGGATTTTCTAATGTAAAACTATACTTGGATTCCTGGAATTACTATTTTTCTTGTGTATGGCCAGACTCATTTGCTAATGTTTTGTTTTAGAAGCTTTATTTCTGTGTTTATAAGTTAGATTTAATTTTTAATTCTCATACTGTCTTTAATTTGATTTTAAGATTTATAAAATGAGTTAAGAATATTCAATATTTTTCTCTTCTATATTTAAGATTGCAGTCATTAGTTTCATGAGTGCTTAGTACACCTTGCCTTTATGATATATTTTTTAACAGTCTCATAAAAAAAGATGCAAGAAAGTACAAAAGAATGAGTTTACAACATGATGCCCATCACCCTTGAATATGTAACATATACTTCAGACAAATGAGGGACATTTTCTTATACAACCACACTACAACCATTAAAATCAGAAAATGTACATTAATATGTTACTATCATCTAATCTTCAGCCTTCATTTAAGTATTAGTAGTTGTCCCAGTAGCACCTTCAGAGCAAAGAGATTCAGTTCAGAATCACATGTCTTTGTCATTGCATTTAGTTGTTATGTCTTTTCAGTTTCCTTCAATGTGGAATACCTCAGTCTGTCTTTGACTTTTGTAAATTTTCCATTTTTGAAAATTTTAGGCTAGTTATTTGCAGAATGTTAATTTTGAATTGTCCTGCTGTTTCTTTATGATCAGAATCAAGTTTTGCATCTTCGGTAGGAATATCACAGCAGTGATGTTGTGTTTTTCTTATTGAATTCTATTAAGCAGTGCACAATTTTGATATATTCCATTATTGGTGATGTACACTTTGATCACTTGATTTACGTGGTGTCTTCTAGGTTTCTCTAAACTTACTTTTTTTCTCATTGTGATTAATAAGTATACAGGGGAGAAGTTCTTTGAAGCTATACAAATATCTCATTCCTCATAATACTTTCAATTTATTTAC